TGACTAACAGCCTGAATAGCGTACGAAATATCCGGTCTAGTATGAGTGAGATAAATCAAACTCCCAACTAGACTGCGATAAGACGAACCATCAGAAAGCAAGTCGCCATCTGTCTGTCGTAACTTCAAGTTCTGCTCCATCGGAGTAGCACAGGGTACACAACTATCCATATAGCAGTTTCAAGCAAATCAATAATGTACTTCTGTTGACTGACCAATAAACCAGCAGAAGACCGATGAACCTCAAGACCAAGAAAATAGGAGATATCCCCTAGCTCTTTAAGATTAAAAGCTGCACGTAGAGTACTAGTAAGAGTCTGAATACCAGCAATATCATCACCACTTACCAACATATCATCAACATAAATTAGTAACACCGTAATTCCAGAGACCGTATGGCGAAGAAACAAGGACGAATCAGTATGACTCTGACAGGATCGTATAGTGAAATTTCTCAAACCAAGCACGTGGAGCTTTCTTAAGGCCATAGAGAGAACGACGAAGCAGACAAACCTTAGACTTGTCCACAGACAAGTAACCGGGAGGACATTCCATGTAAATTGTCTCCTTAAGATCCCCATGAAGAAACGCATTCTTCACATCAAGCTGCTTCAATTGCCACCCTCGCATGGAGCAACAGCAAACAAGATACGAACTGTCTACATTTTGGCCACCGGGGCAAAAGTTTCTTCATAATCAATTCCATATTCCTGCCTGAAACCTTGGGCAACAACCCGGGCCTTAAATCGCTCAAGAGAACCATCCGGATGAAGCTTGACATTCTAGACGCACCGAGAACCAATAACGGGTGCAGTAGGAGGACGATCCACAACATCCCATGTATGATTAGCTTCGAGAGCATGAATTTCAAGATTCATAGCATTATCCCATTATGGATGACCACAAGCCTGTTTAAATGTCGCAGGAATAGGAATATTAGGAGTAGCAAATGCAACAAAGTCAGACATGCGAGGAGGTGGAACACCCTTGGTTGTACGCAGGGAACGACGGGGAGCAACAGATTCTTGATCAGGTGAGGGAACAAGAGGAAGCAGAGATACTTCTCCTGAAGAAGAAGACTGCTGAACGGCCAGAGAGTGAGACGAGGCCGAGAGCTGGGGGGTGGACTGCATGGATGAACTCGGGGAAGAACTGGACCAGTCATAGGGAGCGGAGGACGTTTCATGAGGAGGTGAAGGTGGATCAGGAAGCTCACCAGCAGCCACATCACGAGAAGGAAAATCCGGCAAGGGAAAAAGAAACTCAAAGTCTGAACGAGAGGGCTGATCGGCCGATCCATAGTACGGGATATGCTCGAGAAAAGCAACGTTACAAGAGATACGAATGCGCCGATTGGCCCATCATAACAGACATAAACTTTGTGTTTATCACTGTAGCCAATAAACACACACTTTGCCGCTTTAGGAACAAGCTTATGACGCTCACGGCGAGGTAACAAAACATTGCAAACACAACCAAACACCCGTAGGCTCCGATAATCAGGCTTTTTCCCAAACAAGACTTCATATGGACTTCGATTATTAAGAACCGGAGTTATCTGGCGATTAATAAGATGTACGACCGTGTGAACAACTTCAACCCAATAACTAGTAGGAACACACGACTGAAACAGAAGAGCTCGAGTGAGTTCTAAAACATGTCGATTTTTCCTCTCAACGAGCCCATTCTGTTGAGAAACCCCAGGGTAGGACTGTTGAGGTAAAACGCCCAACTCTCTGAACACAGCCGGTAATGGTCCAGAAGTGAATTCACCACCTGGATCCGATCTGAAAATTTTAACCTGTTTCCCAAATTGAGTTTTCACCATTTTCAAAAACTCCTTAGCCACTGACAACAAATCCGACTTGTGGCGCAAAAAGTAGACCCAGGTAAATCTCGTGACATGATCAAAAAAGAGAGCGAAGTAACAAAACCCAACACGAGAAGTCACAGGAGAAGGTCCCCATAAATCAGAATGAACCAAGTCAAAAGGATCAGAATATTTAGTAGAACTTGACGTAAATGATTGCTGAGACAACTTAGCTTCAATGCAATGCACACAATCACGAGAATCCGAAATCGAACTGCCCGACAATAAATTTTTTTTAAACATCTCATGTAAACGTACATTATTCGGGTGGCCTAGCCGACGATGCCACAAATCCCAATTCGACAACTTAACAGAAAAACCAAAAGTATCACTCGCCCTCCCTACATTCTCACAAAATGAATCCGAGCACACTGCACCCACGGCACCACCAGAATCCGCAGCTGCCGAAGACCATGCGTAGCTGTCAAGGGTGAACACTCGACCCGCCTTAGTCCCGCGGCCTCTCTCCTTCCCCGTTCTCGTGTCCTGTATCACACAACCACTTGCATCAAAGATTAAACGACAGCCCTCGTCAACCAACTGCCCAACTGACACGAGACTGGGGACGAGATGAGGCACATATAAAGTATCAGACAGACACAACCGATTCTGATCAATATCACCAATTCCTTGAGTAGGTAAACAAGAACCATTCGCTACTTGCAACATAACAGTAGACTTCGTCTGTAGAGAACGAAATGTCGAACGAGACCCAGTCATATGGTTAAACGCTGCAGAATCAAGGTGCCAAGAAGCAGTAGAGGGAGAAGACATACCCGTAGTGAAGACAGAACTAAGAGCGGTGGGCAAGGCCTCTTTAATGGCCTCCTGAACAAGTTGGCGAATGAAATCCGCCGAGACCCCAGGAGAAAAGGAGGACGCGGTCGAGCCAGCAGGTACTGTCGTGGTCGCGTACGCCTGGCCAGTGGTGGTTGAACGAGAGGAGCCGAGCGAACTCGAAGAGCCAGCACCACGAGACCTTCCACGTTTAGCTAAGATTGGACAATCACCAATCTTATGACCTGACTCCTTGCAATAATTGCAAACATTCCATTTTGGACAACGATTCTGAATATGCCCCGGTTCCTTGCAGAAGAAGCAAACAATTTCACCAGAAGGAGTGCGATGAAACTGAGGCTTGTCCGAACTGACAGCAAAGGCAGATTGATCCGAGGGAGCAGATTTGCTTGAGGAGTCTTTGGAGACCGAGAATGCAGACCCAGAGTCAACCGATTGATGGACATCAAGCTTCGCTTGACTGCGGAGCCTAGTTTCTTCGCGAACAAGTTCCCCAAGCACGTCCTCAATCTTGGTGACGTTCCGATGAAGCAAGGAGGCCCGAATACCTTCAAAATCACCACAGAGCTTCATTAAAAACTGCATCACACGAGAGCTAGAGCGATCTCGTAGAACCTCCGCAGAAGCCTCTGCCGAGAGAAGAGGCGTGGTCAGCTGATCAAGTTCAGTCCACAAGTTTACCGCCGCCTGATAGTATGTCCGAACATCCATGTCGCTCTGATGGAGACGCGCCAAGCCGAGGTCCACCTCATATTTTTGAGAAGGACTAGGCTGGGAATGGACAGCAACAAGGTGATTCCACATGGCGGTGGCAGAGGTAAAGCCTCGTAAACTAAGAGCAATCGAGGGTTCACATGAAGACAAAACCCAAACCCTAACTTGAGCATTGTGAACTTCCCAATCCTCCCTGTCTTTGGCCGGAGCATCAGCCGCAGGTTTAGCCGAGGATCCATCAAGAAAACCCGAAAGCCGGCGCCCTAGAACAAAGAGACGCAGTTGCATCTCCCAAAGAGCAAAATTTTTGCCATTAAAGCGAACAGAAACGGTATCAACCTTGGAAGCCTCCATTGCAACAAGAACAAGCGGAGGAAAAGAATCAGAGAGCACAAGCCAACCTGGACCGAGAACAAACCCACAGATCGGAAGCAGAAGGCAAAATGCGGCAGCAACTCCAAACCCTAATGTCGCCGCCAAGCAGAAAACGAGCACGATCAAGCTTGAGGCTCTGATACCATGTTGAACAAGCTAACGAGAAATAAACAATAACAAGAACACCAAGATTTACGTGGTATCCTCAACGTATTGTTGAGACTAATCCACGGAGAGGAGCAACCTCTCAGAGTCAATTGTATTCCACCGAGAATCCTTAGGTTTACACACATTGGCTAACAACATATATATAGCTGCCGAGCAACCCTATCTCTAGGCCCAAGCGGATTACCCAAATCAACCAACACAAGGATTAATGGCCAAATTACAATTGACTACCCATAACTACTAACAGTAAGCTCCATCTCGAGAAATGATTGTAGGTAGTTGTTATGTAGATGCGCCGTCGGGGCGTAATTCTACGTACTGGATCTTTTCTTCTCTGGACTTTTGAATACGTTGCTTGACGTTCTCGAGTAGAGGATCTCCTTAATGGCGAGAACAACCCAAAAATAGTTACAAAACTACTAAACTGAACGAAATAAATAATCAAAGCAAACAAACGTAAATTGGGTTCCAATCTTCTCTTAGTATTATTCATAAACAACGTCTCTATTTATAGAGTTACACAACGAAATCCCTTTCCTTCTCACCTAAGGCTTTTAGCCTCTCTCCTTATCATTTTCCTACTAGAATTCTCTTTCTTCCCTTACAAGAAACATTAATTAAATACTAAACAAGAACTAACACATCTCCTAACCAACTAGAACAACTACTACTAATAATAAATACTAATAATGACTTAATACGAACTAAAAAAAAGATACACAAGCCCAGTAATTAATGAAATGCTACGATGGCTCAATCTCGTAACATTCATGGTCCATCTCATATTGCAGCTTACATGTTTGATTAATTGCCTGACTGAAATAGGGCATCACTGTTAATAGCTTCAAGGTCAACGGAACTTCCTATCCTTCCCGTTGGTCTGGGCTGGAGATGTGGCAAATTACTCCAGCGGACAGGCCTAATGAACGCCAAGAGTTGTCTGCCGGGCAGTCTGAATACAAATAAAATAGCTGGGAAGATCGTATTGTGTCACACTGTAGTTGGAGACTACACCGGAGTCGCCATGGCAAATGGTTTGAGTACCATCGTCTCCTTCCTGGTTCCTTGTCTGAACGATGTTGTTTTCTCTTACCCTTTTCCCGCCACTCAAGTCAAGACTGGAGATGGCGATGCAATTCTGGACTCTGGAGTACATTAGAACAACAGAGTAGTTTAACTTCCCTACTTTTGGGCTAGCTACGTTGAGTTGTGGCCATTCCCCTGACATGCTGCTAAGTCTGAAATGTATGTTAAACAGGAACCCAAGCGGAACTATACTTGTGGGTGAAACGTCGAAGGATGAAATCGCACCTTATGTTGCTTCCTTTTCTTCCAGAGGATCAAACCGTCTCAACCCAGAGATTCTCAAGGCAAGTTCGACAGAATATTTCATTTCTAACTCATATGTTCATCTTTCAATGACTTTGTGCAAGTTTTTCTTTATGATTATGCTTTTTTCCTAAATTCTTTGTTTCGGTGGGAGAGTAGCCGGATATAACTGCCCCCGGTGTTGATATACTAGTTGTTTGGTCTCCAGTATCATCTACATCTGGTTCTCCATTCGACACGAGGGAGGTGAAGTTCGGTGTAATCTCTGGCACATCAACGTCTTGCAGTCACACAAGTGCTATTGCTGCGTATGTCAAGGCTCTCCAACCGGATTGGTCCCCTGCCGCCATCAAATCTGCAATTATGACCACAGGTTTGAATTATAACCACATTGAATCCTTGCACAACTATGGTCAAGCATTGAACTCGGTTTTCATATGTTGGATTCATCTGTGTCTTACCAGCTAATGTAATGGATGTGAAATGGCTATGTGCTCAATTTGGATTCTAGGGATTCTAGGGTTGACTAAGAAAAAGCCCACAGACCATAGAGAATAACGTCTGGGCTTAAGGAAAATTGGCTCGAATCTAGAGTCAGAGAAGAGAGAAGGTTTCTTCTTCTTCTTCCCTGAACCGAATAAAACCCAATAGGGGAAATGAAGAACAAGGGAATTGAAAACAGCAGGAAACAGAAATGCAGAATAATAAAGAACACATCGAGAATTTTACTAGGTTCACCACATGGTTACTCCTCGTCCCGGAATAGTACCCACTATTCCGAGAGACATTTCTTATTTTATTTGACTCTAAGAAAGGAAAATGAAAGATAAATGATTACAAGGAAAATGTGAGAAAATCAAAAGGTAAGACTTCAGACCCGACTGAGACCATGGAACATTTGTTTCTCTATTGCTCAGTGGCGCGAGCCCTTTGGGACTGTTCGGGTCTTGAGTATCTGGGTGAGGGATTGCCTCGTCATACCTTCCCATTTTTCTTAAGAGGCTGATGGCTTTAATCCATCAACCGATGCTATTCATGGCGGTTATTGTCGTCCTCTGGCGGATCTGGCGGTCGCGTAATTGGGTTGTCTTTGAAGGCAAACAGTTTGGGATCCCTGCTTTGATGCGACAATTTCATCAACAATACGAGGAATGAGTTAGTTTGCCGAGGAGGAGACCTCCACAAGCTATTTTCCTGAAATACAACAACTGGGTCCGGTCGGGGACACTAGGGTTGTTTGTATGTGGGATGGGGCAACGAGCAATGGATCTCATTCGGCAAGCGAAATGGTTCTTATGAACCCAGCTAGGGATATCCATATGGTTAAGGGGATTCAGTTTCCTTTACTTGATGACCCCATGGTGGTGGAGTTGCTGGTCCTCCTAGATGCTATACTTTGGTGTCTTAGACATGGATTTACGGACATAAGATTTTAAGGGGATGCCAAAGTGATCATCGACAAAATCAATCGGGCTGATAATGGAGATAACCAGATGGGTGCTATTCTAGAAGAAGTCGTTCATTGTTTTGCCAGCCATTCCGGGTTTAGTGTTCAATTTGTAGGTCAGGGTAGTAACAGGGTAGCCCATATGGTGGCTAGAAAGACCCTCTCATTGTACCCAACTATTAGTCATTTCTTCAATTTTCAGACCTGGCTGAATTTCAGGATGTAACTATCTATTCGTTGGAATCAATATATGATTATCTTTTGTAAAAAAAAAAAGACTTCAGACCCAAATCCGCACAGGGATTCGTTACAACCTTTGATCAGCTGAACATCTACCCCAGCTATGATCAAAGCCAGTACTTAACCCAACTCTTTGCCCTATTCCACAAAGAATCCCAAAAGAGTTGCTACACTGATTTACAAAGAAGGTATATATAGTCTTCTGCTTAAGTAGCTGTTGGAATTCAAACTTCTCAATGATCAGAATCGGCTCCCCCTTGATTTCTGCGCTGATCCTAGCTTCTTTCCATTTGTGAGTCGATCCAATCTTCTGACTTGATCAAGGACAATTCTTCAATCCAAAAATCTCCCCCTAAGTTAGAGATTGCCGATTGACCAGTTGATACATGCAACACAAATAGAACACCTTTCCCAGACAACCAAGATATTCACCAAGAACAAAAATAAGTCCGAAAAAGTTCTTAAAACATCAAGTCATTCAACAAGCAATAAAAAAAAGCTGGAAAAAACACGTCCAATAAACCATCCAGGTATCCAAAAAAATTCAGCAAGTCAAACAGGAAAACAACAGATTTCAAAATCAATAAGAACCATAAATGTCTTGAAGAGAAACAAAGATACAACCCAGAGGCGGAGAATCATCTGAGCCAGAGTCAGAGTCATCACTACTGATCCACTAAATTTATGTGTCAGGATCGAAGGTGGGGTCGCCTTTAGGATCTTCTTCAGGTTCTTCCTCAGCAGAGTCTTCTTCAGGGTCGTCCTCATCCGCAGCAGGATCTTCTTCAGGGTCTTCCTCAGCCTCAGTAGGGTCTTCCTCCACCAGGTCATCGTCAAAGTCATCGGAGTCAAAGTCATCATCACCCCCCCCCCCCTCAACGGCAAGCGCAATCTCATCCAGGATGTCATCAGCGGTCAAGTAGAAAGTGGGAGTGGTGATGCTAAAAAGATCAAGAGAAATCCCGAGATGGGTGATAGGACGTGTGACCAGAGGGTCAAACGGGAGATGACGAGATACTCAAACTGTTGAAATGGATAGAAGCCACCAAACAGAAGACGACAATAGTCAAGCGGAACATTGTGCACAACATGGGTGATGATCCAGAGATCAAGAGGGGTAACCCTATCAAGCAGAATAGTCCGAGGTAGGAAACAACGAGTGTGAAGGAAGTGGAAGGTGCACAGTTAAGGGAGCAAAAAGGTAGTGGAAAGAGTGAGATAGGCATCAGGAGAATGACTAGTGAGAAGAAAAAACTCGTGATCGATATTGAAGTTAAACAGAACGAGTTCAGACTCATGACCGAGGAATATTCAAAAGATGCCTAAGATGATCGAGCGGAATAGTGACCAGATGCCTATAAATAAGTGTCGTGAAGGAACGAGTGTGAAGGCCAAACGACCTGAAGTTTGAATAGAACAGACGAACCCCCTTAGGACAGACATACTCAGCACTATCAGCAATCAGAAAACCCCAGCCAAGATTGTGAAGACATTGAGTGACATCAAGTTCATACTCAAAGAGGCAAGGAAAGGGAACTTGGTAGGTGGGAATGATAGGGCGATGAGCAAATGAAATAACATGACGATGAGAGTTTGCAGGAATCGGGTCATGAAAGAGAGTACATGTATACGTACGAGAGAAATCTAGCACCATTGCAACTAGAGAATAGAAACCTAGACGCTTCGATGGAAGACAAAGACTGGACTCAACACACTTAAATAGGAACGCAAAAAAACATAAAGGAAGAACTGAAAAGACCAAAGACACACCAAACAAGAAAGAACACCTAAATGCACAACAATAAGGTAAAAAAAAAAGAGCAAGTCGAGAAATCAGGGAAAATCCGCCAGATGATCTGGAGATCTTAACCCTATTTCATAACAGAGCAAAGTAAATCAGTTAGGCCGTGCAGCTTCTCGGTAAATCCTGCACAGCAACAAAGGGCAACATGCACGACCGTGCGCTTTCCCGTCCTGCTTGTGCAACTTGTCTGATCTCCCTTCGCTCGTCCTGATTTTTCCCAATCGACTCCAAGCTCTTGCTCAAGCCTTCATTCACGCATTAAGACATGAAATTTCTTAAACAAGAACAACCTAGCGTAAAATCGGCTTAAAACCCGAGATCCGAGCCTCAAATAGTATAAGAATGGAGGACAAAAACATGTGTAAATATCGAGTCATCAACTTGTTTAATGAATAGAGTTTTATCAATGCTTCCTTAAGTGAATGAGTTTTCAAGCAGAAACGAGGTAAGCGTTCAAACCAGGCCCTAGGAGCCTGTTTGAGTCCATACACTGCTTTGTTGAGCTTGTAAACGTAATTTGGATGTTCAAAATCAACAAATCCGGAGGTTGTGCTACATAAACTTCCTCCTGGATGACTCCAGTCAAGAAAGCACTCTTGACATCCATTTGGTAAAGGGGAAAACCCAAAAAGCTAGCAAAAGCACACAACAATCTGATAGATTCAAGACGAGCTATAGGGGTGAATGTTTCGTCTAAATCTATTCCTTCCTCCTGAAGGTACCCCTGAGCAACTAACCTAGATTTTTTTTTCTAACTACCATGCTTCTTCATCAGATTTGTTTCGATAGATCCATTTTGTTCTTATTACCGTAACATTTGCAGGTTTAGGGACTAAGTCCCAAACATGAAGGTGCTCAAACTGCGTTAATTCTTCTATCATAGAGAATACCCATTCCTCATCTTGTAAAGCTTCTCAAAAATTCTTTGGTTCAAATTGAGAAACGAAGGCATACTGACCTGGAGTGTACTTGCCTCTTGTCTTGAGACCATTACCCAAGCTCCCAATGATTTGACTCTCCGTTTGCCGTTTTTTAATATGTGGAGGAGCCTGGGGAACTTGCATCGTCCCTTGAAAATATTCAATAGGGGACACATCAGGCACTGGTGGTGTGAATACTTTATCACTTTGATCCTGATTGCTCAAGGAAACTTGATCATGAGAGATTAATTCAAGAAGATCAAAGCTTATCGTTTCATCCGGCACAACAAAATCCACTTCATTGAATACTACATGAACTAATTCCTCTACTTTCTTAGTACGTTTATTAAATATCCTATATGCTTGACCCTTAGATGAGTAACCTAGAAAGATAGCAGGATCAGATTTAGCATCGAACTTTCCTAGGTTGTCTCTAGTGTTCAGTCCAAAGCATGAGCAGCCAAAAGGATGAAAGTAAGAAATAATAGGGGGTTTCCCTTTGAAAATTTCATAAGGAGTTTTGTTAACATGCTTACGAACTGGAACACGGTTGATAATATAACAAGCTGTATTTACAGCTTAAACCCCAGAAGTATTTAGGAAGATTATAATCAAACAACATAGTTCTAGCACATTCAATGAGAGTCCTATTCTTCCTTTCAACAACTCCGTTTTGTTGAGGAGTTCGAGGAGCAGAGAAAGTGTGATTTACTCCAAAATCATCACACAAAGTTTCAAACTGATCAGATATAAATTCTCCCCCATTATCGCTTTGAATGTTCTTAATGTTGTAATTATGTAAGTTGAGAAAGTATATGAATTTCTTGTAGGTTTCATCTTTATGAGCAAAGAAGTATACCCAGGTGAATCTAGAGAAATCATCCACTATAACAAACACATAGTTTTTTCCTCCTAAACTGGTAACATCACAAGGTCCAAACAGATCCATATGGATAAGCTCAAGGGGACTCTTAGAGGTAATATCAGGAATCGATTTAAAGCTTTTCCTTTTGTGTTTTCCAGCTGCACACGCATTGTAGAAAAACTCAACCTTTTTTCTTGAGCCTGGGGACTCCTTGAGCTAAATTAAGCCTACACAA